ATTGGGAAATAAGACACCATCTTGATCGAGGTTTCGTTTGGGACGACTTTTTTACTGCTTCTTAAAACAACTTTTTAATACATACAAAAAAATTCTTTAAGAAACAGTAAGAAAACTGCCCGAAATGAAACCTAAATCAGAGAAAATTCATAGTCAGATATCCCACTGAAAGCTAAAAAGAACCAAATATTGCAGTATGCAAGCCATCAAACTTGGCTAACAAATTAATGTGCCATGACTTTGATAAATTTTTTTTCCTTATTATTTAGAGAACGCATAATCAGTGATCAAATCTGATCGCTAATTTTCTGAAAAAAAAAAAGAAGAAAAAAGAAAACTCATAGCTACCAAAGAATAATTAATCACTACATAATTGCCAGGATGGAACACAGTAATGCCTATTAATAGCTCCATAAATACAGTGAGTTCTCAAGTTGTTGCTTGCTGGACCGAAACTTTTAGAATAAGACATGTCGGCCTCGTTTTTAATTTGGTTCAGTTGAGCTGGGCCTTTGCTTTATTGGATCATTAAAATCATGCGCGTGGTCTAATGCAATTGCCAAAATATGTGGGTGTTATCTGCAATTGTTGCGTTAAGTAAAACCCTTAGGTTGGGGGAGATTATTACGGGCAGTGTTCGGAGGCAAATCAGGATGCACTACATCATCTGTTGCACAACAGTATACAACAATTGTATATAGTAAAATGGTGACGTAGCGCATCCTGATTCGCCTTTGGACGACGTCCGGAAACTGCACGTAATAACTTCTCGAGGTTGGGACAGATTTTTCTTGAGATTTATTTTACAAATCGCTATCACATCTTTATTTCATCATAAATTTCTTTTATTGTTATGATGAGAATGGAGATTTTTATAATTAAATCTATTAAATGTAGTGGTAAGAAAATTGTTCTCATTTTTTTTTAGAGTAAAAATTATAATTCTTAAATCTTATAAAAATAACTATGATTAGGGCATAAAAAAACTTGGATGAAATTATCCCCATAAAAATTTTGTTTGGATAAACTCTATAGTCATTAAATTTATTTTTAGAAGAGTGTGATGTATTGTTAATGAATAAAAAATTATATTATATCTATCTAAGAAAAAATATGATAACTATAAAGCTATGATTAATCAGATTAAGTCATGATATTGTAATTAGAAAATATTACTTCTTCAACATCATAATTAAGATTATATTTTATCAAGCAATAGACTGCTATGAAGCTGAGAATTTGATACGCTACTAGAAAAGTCATCCAACCAATCATGAATTTTGATGTAATATTTAAATTAAAGCTTTCATAATTAAATTCAGAACTATTTGATCTACAATTTTAGCAAATAGATTGATAGTCACACATAAGATCTTAACAAACGGAACACAATGACACCCAAAGTGATCCGATTCGAATCTAAATGAGCTCAAATTAATCAAGTACTTGAAGGGTTGTTAGAAACTTCAAGATATTAATTAAATGATCAATTGATCTCTAAAATTTGTATGTTTATAATCAAATCAAGCACTTAATGAGATGAATCTAATGAGTCTGAGAGCATTCAAATTTTGATATCATTAAAGCACTGAAGTGATGAAAGCAGGGGCGGAACCAGTCCTAATTTTTAGGGGGGGCAAACTTATAAGACATATATGTCGGGGGTCCAAGGGGGTAGTGTCCCCTGGCGGGATTCGAACTGTTGGGGGCAATTACCTAAAGACCATAGTATTTTAAAATTTTTAGGGGGGGCAATTGCCTGAAAACCCTTGTAATAAAGAGGGGGGGGGGGGGCAATTGCCTGAAAACCCTTGTAATAAAGACTAAAAAATAAATAAAAATGGGTAAATTATCTAAAACACCATATAAAAAAAAATTTGAGGGGGCCCTGAAACCCATTGGGTTCCGCCAGTGGATGAAAGGTTGGTCTATAATTAAAGGGCGATATAGGTTGTATGGAATTTCCATTAAATATACTCAAATATCACTCCAAAAAAATTATAAATAGAGTCACATTCTCCACATGAAGATGATCTTGAGTTTCAAGAGAGCTTAAAGATACAAAATCTTCTAGAGCTATACTTGCTACCCACTACTATTGTTCGATCATCATCGGCTGACCATCACCGTCTAACCACAATACAAACCAGCCATCATAGTACATTCATTAGCATATGATAAACATTTTTTGACGAAAATCACCAGGTCACCATCACACGGTCGTCTTTTGACCATTGTTGCCTAACTCATATTATATGATTGTCTTCTAGATTAGGTTCGTGGTTTTTTTTTTTCTTTTTTAAATTTTTCATGTAAGAACTCCGATGTTCTCATGTGTTACTCTATTTTATCAAAGTGTGTTAAAGATCTTCATGAGAAGCTAGAACTTAAGATTATCTCTCTAATACATTGAATATTTAAGAATACAAAAAAGTCCAATCAGCCTTACTGGTAACCTGTAAGATCTATTACAAATATTCACAACAGACAATCATGTTTTCACGTGAAGAACACAAAAAAGGAAAAGACAACAAGGAACGAGAGTAGTTGAAATGATTTCAACAGTATTTATCATATGTTACAAATGTTGCTCTCCCATATAATTAACAAAGGTGTATATATAATATGGTAAATATAAATGATATAGAATGGATTTCATTATAGAAGTTAAAAAAATCATGTGACATGAGAGCTGTCTTCAAGAGCTCATATGTAATATGTTTGTTCATTTTTGTTTGATGAGAAGAAATTAAAGATCATGAAATCTTGTATAAATTTTGGTTAACATTGGAAGTCATAATTGGTGTCAATAGCATGCATCAATCTAATAGGCGATGACATGTATCAATACTATTCATAATGGTGGCGACAATTTAAATAGACATTGATGTAGTTAATGGATTATAGGTTACTATAATAAAGAGTAAAAAAAGATGGAAAAGGATAAATTACCTACAAATTCATATAATAAGCAAATTTTTAAATTTTTACCCCCCCCCCCCCCCCCCCCCCCCAATTTTTCCCCCCCCCCCCCCCCCCGGGCACTTAATGGTTCCGCCCATGGCAGGCATACCATACTTGGACGATGTTGTTTTGGAGGACCATACTCATATATTGATGATCGGAGAACCGTAGTCATGCGACAGTAGTTTAAGTATCATAAATGGACTAGGGTAATCAAAGGATTACAGTTGGATGATAGTGATTGGAGGAAAATAGTCAAGTGATGATGAGCAAATATTATAGTTAGGTAATAGAGGTTGGAGGATTGTAGTCGAGCGCGGTTGGTTGAGAGTCCATGGATGGGAGACAGTGGTTGGGGAACTTTAGTTAAGTGACAGTGGTTGGAAGACAACAGTCCGGGGTGGTCGATGGACCGTAGTCATGTGATAGAAGTGGGAGGACCATAATCTGGCATCGATGGTCCAATGATCAAAATTAGACATCAGTCGGTTATCGAATGACGGTATGATGGTGGCAATTCAGCATTTGTCTAACTGTGGAGCTCCATGATTCCTTATACCTTCAAGCTCTCTAGAATTAGAAACAAATGTCCAAACCTGAAACCCCCTTTCATATAGAAAGTGAAGGTTTATTCATAGTTTTTTTTAGTTTGGCATGTCTTGTAAATAGAACCAAAATCTAGAACGCTCAATCCAAAGGCCCATGCTAATTTTTTCAATCATAGACTGCTCTTTTAGCATTTAAGTGACGTAATGATATTAAAATTAGATATTTTTTTGGCTCGTTGCATTCATATTTTTCATGCCTTTGATTTGATTATAAGCATGTGTGATTTAGGGATATAATTGTAGAAACTCTTAGGACAGAGCTTCTTGATTAAAGAAATAGAGAATACAGAAGGGAAATAGAAAGTGCAAAGCAGAGAAAGAAGAATTTATTATTTCACAGATAACCGAGTACAGCCTGTTTAAATAGAGAAAATAGGTAACATATAAAGCCATATAAATGGCTATACAATTATTTAGATAGATTGCTCTAATAATAATCCTCCTATTAATACCATTAAATTTTCAATTATGCCTAAAGTGTTTGATTTGGGATCCTTTGGAGTCGATTTTCCCTTAAGAGTTTGATGGCATCTGTGGCAATGATTTTCCATTACAATTCCTCTCGGAAGGATATAAAATCTTAGTTTTTATAACATTATTGGCAATACTTCTTAAATTCATTGAATGAAGATGCTGCACTCCAGCAAATGGATAAATAATGCATATCAGTATGCATATTCTTTATATGCAGCAACGGACATCAGTTTTAGATGTTAGATTTGTTTGGTGATTCAATGAATATTTAATTCTTTTTTTGAGAGTAAACACTGCAATAAATATAGTACTAAGGACTTTTTAAATGGGACTAACAATCTAATCTTTAGTAATACACATATGCACATACCGTTCTTCCTTAAATTTGTTGGGTTCACTTTGATCATCTCCTAGGCTCTTCTCTTTTAGGATAATGGGTATTACTTCTCGGCTTACGTTATAGTGAATGTAGGTCATCAAATCAAAGCTTCGTTTGAGATAGCTTTCTTATTGCTTCTTAAAGTAATTTTTTAATACAAAAATTTTAGCTCTTTGTGAGCTGAAGCAGTTTTAAGATTTGTCCATCATGTTACACTGTTGCGGATGGTGAATGTGTAATTTGTTTTAAGTGTTTGATGATTAATTTTAATTTTAAATATTTTGGGTTCTGATGTTTTTAGAATTTTGAATTTTTAAGGGCATTTGGGAGGCATTTTTAAACGTTTGAGGTCCCATTCGGTTGAGATTTTATGTCAACACGGCCATCATCAGAATTTTCATTCAATGTTTCTCTCTATTTAGAGTCCCATGTTTTGTCAATAATCCCATGTGTTGTCAAGCATGATGCACCTTGAACATACTGATAGAGAACTCTTCAACAAGAACACATTTGTGATCATCCAAAGAGCAATAAATTGCAGAATCATCAAAATAAGCCTTAAATGTGAGACACAGTTACAATCCTCATATACATATTATAAATCATCATTCATTAATCCAACATCTGCGCTCAAATACATTTGCCCAGTGATAATTTACATGATTGATTACAAGATTATCCGTTGATCAAACACCACAAGAGCAACACTTAACAAATTAACCTTCAAGCATTGAAGCTTTCTTATATGAGCAAGATGGCCACAAAGAACTCAGCCTTATTCTAAGCTGCTGAAGAAGCTCATATTCTCCATAAATTATAAAGATAGCTTTATTAGGTACTCAGTACGTCTACTCACATAGAATAATCTTACATGTTTGGCTTCACATTGAGATTGTTGCCAACCTTCTGCCCCAGAGTAGTATCACACTGCAATCAAATATTATTAATTAGCCTTATAATGCCAACAAGAAATCAGCAAAAGAAGTATCAACTCCAAGATTATAAAAACCTTTAAATTAGTCAGAACTTTCAGTAAAAAAATATTTAGATCATTTCAGATAGATATTAGTTTTAGTTTGAGACGGTTTTTTTACTGCTTTGTAAAACTATTTTTAAGTACAAAAATTTCTTGAAAGTAGGAAAAAAATAGTGGTCTAAAACTGTTCCAAATGAGAGAAATTATTCTGTGCTGAGACCAGATGCAGAATGTCGTCCAAAGACCAACCAGAATGTGCCACGTCAACGGTACCGAGCAATATCGAGCTACAGTACTGAGCGAAGGGATGACATATGGCATTCTGGTTGGTCTCTGTACGGTATTAGGCGTCCAGACAAAATAATTAATCCCCATATGAAGCCATAATTAATATACATCTACTGTCATAAATATTTAGATCATTTCAGATAATATTAACCACCAAAAAAAAAAAAAAACACTAAATCACACAACTAAGACATAAAAAGGAGCTCTTCTTAAGTGCAGGAAACAAAAGGGAGGATAACCTTGGCCAGATAGTTGACCCAAATACTCCTGAGCTCATAGCTAACTTTAGGATGTCCCAATGCCTCAACCCAGCGACGGATGAACCTCTCTTGCCTGAGAAATTTCAAGCAAATTAGTAATCTCATTAAAAAATAAAAAAAAATCTTTATAGTTTTAGAGCTAATTAATATTAGAAATTTAATAGTAATAGACTTAGTAAGGGGATTGTGACTTTGGAAGATCCGGTCATTAATAAAAGTACACATTTTAGATATCTTGGATCTATTGTTCAGAGTTATGGTGAAATGGATGATGATATTATCAATATAATTCAAATTGGATGGTTCAAATGAAGGAATGCATCGGGCTTATTGTGTGATAGAAAAGTCTCCCTCAAACTTACAGGAAAATTCTATAAGATGACGGTGAGACCTATAATGCTTTATGATGCCGAATATTGGCCATTAAAAGAGAAGCATAATACTAAGTTAAGTGTTGCAGAGATGAGGATGCTCAGGTGGATTTGTGTGGCTTTAGCCTTAGAGATAGGATACGAAATGAGCATATATGTGAAAAGATTGGAGTAGCTCCAGTGGAAAATAAGATTAGAGAGAGTCTCTTTAGATGGTTTGATCACATAAAACGGCGGCCTTCCGATGACCCGGTTAGGAAACTAGAGGTATTAGATTTGACTCATGTTAAGAGATGTAGAGGTAGACCTAAAAAGACTTGGTTAGAAAATATTATAAAAGATCTTTTTTTATTAGATTTAAACGAGAATTTGACTTTTAACAGGACAATCGAGGAAAAGGATTCATGTAGCTGAACTCACGTAGTGGGACAAAAGCTTAATGTTGATGTATAGTTTTAGAGCTAATTACAATAAATTAATACAAATAATTATAATTAATGACTGCATTAACTCATGCATACCTATCAGGCGCCCAGCTTCTGTATCTCTCCCCTGGTTGCTTGAAGTCATTCTGTTTCTGAATTATAATCTGCAATTGTATATATATAAGCCGTTAATTACAAGATTATAACTCTGCTAATTAATTGTTTCCAGCCATGGAGTTACAGAGGGAGATTAAGAAGAAACCAAAGAAGTCACCTTCTCACGCTTTCCTGTGAGCGGGCGAGATGGAATCGGGACTCTCTCGGCATGCCTTAGAGGAGCATGCCTTGAAGGGTAATAATCCACCTGAACAAAATGAGAAGCCACAATACATTCATATAGCTTCAGCATGATAGAAGTAAAAAAGTGGCTAAATTTTTGAATAAAAATAGGAGGTTTTTTTGGTCCTATTTGGGACAGCTTTCTGATTGCTTTCTCTTTTTAGAGCAATATTTAACTACTACTTTCTTATTATTTTTCCACTACTTTTTAGAAAATTTTATGATTTAAAGTTACTTTCTGCAATCATAATAGCGAAATTATTTTCTCCACAATAACTTCACAACCAACTTTATAAAACATTCCCGCAGTTCGAAAAAAGAAAATTATTTTGTGCGGAGACCGAACGCAGAACGATATCTAGAGACAAACCAGAATGCGCCACATTAGCAGTGTCGAGCAACGATACGGAGCCGCGGTACCTAGCACATGGATGATGTGGTGCATTCTTGTAGGTTGACGGACAGCTTTCAATGTCCGCACAGAATAATAAATGATTAATAAGATATTGTTAATAATCGGATATATGACAATTTTTGCAATTGATAACCGATTGTTTCTGAAATTTTAGAAACATGCATAGAATAGAATTTATTCTTCATATAAGTTTCTAATAGGGGTTGGTGATCTATCATTGTGGGAACTATTTTGTTTGGGACGGCTTTCTTATCATTTCTTAAAGCAAGTAATAAGAAAAATATTCCAAATGAAGCCTGAATATTTTGATCAATATATAAGCTTTTTGTGATATAAAAAACTTACACTAATCAATATAAAGGAAATATATATACTTAGCAAAAAAATTAAGCCATGCATATAAATTTTAAAAAAACAACAACAAATATCATCTATACCTCCTCAGTCCTCTGAATGAAGTTCATAGGGCCATCATAATGATTATTATGAAAAGCACATTTGGGCGCATTGACCGGCAGCATCAGATAATTTGGCCCAAGACGATACCTCTGCGTATCCGCATAAGCAAATACTCTGCACTGAAGCATTTTGTCATCCGAGTAGTATATTCCTGGAACAACGAGACCTGGACCGAACGCTAGTTGCTCATTCTCTGCAAAGAAATTGTCGATGTTCCGGTTGAGCACAAGCCGGCCAACCGGCTGGAGCGGGAGGATGTCCTCCGGCCATGTCTTGGTGTCGTCAAGGGGATCAAAGTCGTAACGGTCCTCTTGATCTGGATCTATAACCTGTTAAATAATATGAAAGGCTATTGTTACAATTGTGAGGAAGGATAACAAATCTTTTATGGAAGTAATAAAGTAAAAAACAAGACCTGAACGAAGAGCTTCCACTCTGGGTAGGAACCGGCGGCGATGGAGTCGTAGAGGTCCTGAGTAGCGTGGCTGTGATTGCGGCCGCAGACGGCGGCGGCTTCGTCTTCGAGGAGGCAGCGAACGCCGCATGTTGGTTTCCAGTGGAACTTCACGTATTGGGATTTGCCCGCCCTGTTGATGAAAGTGTAAGTGTTGACGCCGAATCCCTCCATGTGTCGGTAATCGCTGGGGACGCCCACATCGTCGAAGAGGAAGAAGAAGGTGTGGAGGCTTTCCGGGAGGTGGGAGAGGAAGTCGAACACCCGCCAGTATTCCTGAATGTGAGATCTGATACCAAAATAATAAAATAATTATAATTCCATTGCTTCTCATTATGAGTGTCAATATTTGACAAGACCGGAAAATTTGACTCTAGCTTGATTCGAAAATTTTGGGTTATGGTCAACCTGGACAAGAAACTTGTTGGGTTTGGGTTCAGCAAATTGACTTATTTTAAAAATCGGATCGGGTTCAGGTTGACCCAGTAACCCGAAATTAACCTGTTTTTTTACCCAAAAACCTATTTTGACCCGAAAATCAGACATTAACCTATTTTTACCTGAAAATTGGAGATTGACCCATTTTGACCTGAAAACTATCATTTTTTGTCAGTCCTGTGTCATTCGGGTCGTGTTGGGTTGACCCAGACCTAAATCAAGTCTGGTTCGGGTCCGAAAAAATGGCTTGTTTGTAAAAATGGGTAGGGCTCGAGTTGACACGAATAATGATAGGTCAGGTTCGGATTTGACCCAAAACCGACCCATACCCGAAATTAACACCCGTTTCAAAAATCAGGTATGGTTCAAGTCGACACGGTAACTCGAAATTAACCTGTTTTGACCCAAAAACTCGAGATTGACCCGAAAACCTGAGATTGACCTATTTTTTAACCAAAAATTAGAGATTGACCCATAATCCAACAATTTTTTGTCTAACTAATGTCATTCGGGTCGTGTTGGGTTGACCCAAATTAGAAACGGGTCATGTTTTGGTCTGAAAAATCGACCCATTTGCAAAAATAGGTTGGGTTCGGGTTGACCCGAATAGTGCCGAGTCAATTTCAGATTCAACCCGAACCCGACTCGTAACCCAAAATTGACACCCCTACTTCTGATTCAGTCGAAAAAAAGATAAATTCTTACAAAGAAAAAACAAATATTTGATGCATTAACTAAACTTGATGGAATTGTAAATATAAGATCATAAACTTCACAAACCTTGGATTAGGTTTGAAGGCGTGGATGACATCAGGGAACTTTATACCATCACGAATAAAGAAGACTGGAAAGTTGTTGCCTAGGAGATCCCAATTACCCTCACGAGTGTAGAATTTTACAGCGAAGCCACGGGGATCGCGAATAGTCTCTGGGCTACCACGCTCGTGAATGACAGTAGAAAAGCGAACTATGACCGGAGTTTGAACTCCCGGTGCACGAAGAAAGTCCGCACAGGTTAGATTGGTCACATCGTGAGTGCACTCGAAGAAGCCCTTGGCGCTCGCCCCACGTGCATGCACCACACGCTCGGGGATACGCTCACGTGCGAAGTGAGCGATCTTTTCTATCAAGTGATAGTCCTCCAACAATATAGGGCCTATTCACACGCATGTTGAGCAAAATAAGTTGGCAAAAGTATGTATTTGGCATCAATTTAGCATATTGGTTGAGCTGAAATAAAGATAGGAGAGAATGTAGGTTACCATCGTACATGAATGGTGTGCGAGTATTTAGGTCGAAGATTATAGACTGAGACATAATTCAATTTTTAAGATTTTATTTGGGATATTTTTTTTAATGTTTTCTAAAGTAGATTTTTAGTATAAATATCTTTAGATAAAAAAAACTTAGCACCAAAAATTTGTTTTGTAAAATAATAAAAAAGTTGTCTCAAATATTACCTAAGTTTTGAACTTATTTCAAATTGGCCTAAATCAACCCGAGTCACCCCCTCGCACCCACAGTGCTCCCATGCTCCCACCCGTAGTGTTCTTGTGCTCTCTCAGCGTCCGCTCTCGCCCCTCCCCCGCAGGGATCGCCATATTTGCCCCCTCACAAGCTTTCGCAGCCTTCATCCATCAGCTGCCTTGCAGGTTGGCATGTCGGGTCGGGTTTAGGTCCGAGAACTTAACCAGTTTTGCAAATTGGGTTGTATTCGGGTCATGAGAGTTCAATACGACTCAATTTCGAGTTGGACCCAAATCCGACCCAAAAACACATTTTAACCGTTGTTCGAAACATACCTATAAATTGATATGTTTTATTTTTTTTAATATTAATATAAATAATTTTTATATGATTTAAAATTTTGAGTAACATAAATAATTATTAAAATTTAGAAATTAAATATATAAATACATAAAAATTATATGATATATTCATAAAATCCTTTAAAACAAATGAAAATTTGAAAATTCAGGTCTATGAAATTTAGCTTGAAATTCAAAGTATCCGAATCATTAGAATCAAATCAATTTCAATTTCAGCCGAATTGAATTTTTTTATTTTTTTTTTTTACTTTTAAATCAAATAATGCTCTAATTGGACTCATTGGATATCGGCCCCACAAATAATTCATCTTTTGTATGTTACAAACTTTCAATGTTTGAAATTATTGAAGTTGAGTTTGAAGGTTAGAGCCCGATTAGTGGATGACACGTACTAATAAAAATAGGCTTCTCAACTTTAGATAAAGACCGGCATTAATATTAATTTTATCAAAACAAATTAATTTCCATTTAAAACAATAAATAAAATTTATAAGAAGACATCAAAGGATGTTGTAATAATGGTAGAAATTAGAATCGAGAAGAAAGTAAAAAATATAAAAACGAGAAGAAAAATCAGAATCGAATTTGATAAACAAGTACTTGTTTGGGAAAGCTTTGCGTTATTTTGTTTTTCAGATAAAAAAAAAAGTTGCTTTTTTGCTATCATAGATTTTATTTAGAATAATTTTAGACCACTATTTTCTCTATGTTTTTAAGAAGATTTTTTTATTGAAAAGCAGCAATACAAAACAATAAGAAAGCTGTCTCAAACAAAATCATAGTTGCTATTATGTGGTATTAAGAAAATAGCTATTCTATTTTTGAAAAAAAGAACATATTTATAATATCCACAATAACTTATAGAAAAATTAATTTTCCCACAACTGCTTTACAACCCCATTTTATAAAACACTATAACCATCTCAAACGTACCAGTGGACTACCCTACATGTTTTTGTTTGTTCCTATCTAAGGCCTCGTTTGGGATGGCTTTCTTCATACTTCTTAACTCTGCTTTCTAGTAAAAAAATAAAAAAAATTTGTATTAAAAAGCCGTTTTAAGAAGCAGAAAGAAAGACATCCGAAATGAAGCATAAATTTCAAAGCAAAATAATCAACTCCCAAAAATGGCATAAAATGTTCTGTGTTAGGCTTCGTTTGGGATAACTTTCTTGTTGTTTTTTATTACAATAGTACAAAATTTTATAGTAAAATCTGCTTTAGAAAATAATGAGAAAGCTGTCTTAAACTGGTTTAATTTTTGTGAAAAAAAAAAAATACCACAACCTTCTCTCTTGTAATTATTTTGTTATATTTTATAAAAAAATATGTTCAGGCTTGAAATAAAAGAGTCACAAAAAATAACGTATTAGCAAAATAGGACAATTCATCTATTGAGCTAAAAAAGTGTGATATATCATCACAAAAAATTAGATCAAAATATTTAAGTGAAATTTTCTCCATTATGCAATTCTTCAATAAAAGTGAGGGTAATGTTGGAATAAGAAAATGATCACCTCTTGAACCGACGGTAAGGGCTTGGTCGTCATTCCAAACCGGTCCGCCCGCGTTGGTGGTGGTGTAGGTCGTGTCGTAAGAGCTTGATGGCGTGAACTGTAGAGAAGAAAAAATCAGTTATATTTTTTTAATTATCAGAAAATTAAAATATAAACAGAAAGTTGTTTGAAATTAAAGTTTCATATTTACTTATATTATAATTAAATATTAGATAAAAATATATGCGTACGTCAATTTAAGAAGAAAAATAATTATATTTTTATATTATTTAAAAATTTTAATACAATATAAGTTAATATGAAATTTATATATTAAATATGAAATATGTAAAAAGTAAAATGGTGTGATATATATGTAAATTCCTTAACTTTAAAATATGAGATAAAAATGGATAATAAATATCCATTGAGGTGCTTATAATTGATATTAATTTAACCTATATTTTTTAAAAAATTCTCTCTTAATGTAATCGATTTATTCTCACACAATAAACAATTAAAATTTTTATTTTTAAAATATATTCTCTATCGACAAACATATATACCGCCCCTCCAAAAAACGATAATTACAATTTCAGCCAAAAAAAGAAAAAAAAAATTATAATGAATAATTACAGAAATGTTAATCACCACGTCCCTAATCACTTGCATGTGCTTGTGAATAATTGAGGGCAGTGCCGGTTCAGGACTAATTTCTTAAATTTTAAATTTATTTATATTTAATTTCTCACGCACTATTCGTACAAATAAAAATAAAAATAAATAATATATATATAAACAAACACGAGGTCGCATCAGACTGTGCTTCCCACGGGCCTAACTCTATTCAGTGGGCGGTCGATATTGGTCGTACGGTAGGTAGGGCCCACAGCTGGTCTCCTACTTTTTTTTTTCATAAATTTAGATGTTTAATAATTAATTAAAAAAAAATCTCAATGTTAATTATACACAAGAAATTCATATCCAAATAAATCTCCCTAAGCTTTCATCATTACTTCCTCTTTTTTGTTTCATGCCAAACTGCTTAAGGGAGTATCAGACTAAGGCTTTTTTTTTTTTTTTTTTTCAACTTTCTAAAACGGCTTTTCAAAACATTAATAAAGCTATTCCAAACGAAGCCTAAGACTTCATTCAATATGAATTTTTTTATTGATTTTTAAAATAATTTTTGTAGTACATATTTTTTAAATTATAAATTTTTATACTGAAAATTTATTTTAGAAAACAATAAAAAAGATATTCCAGATAAAGCCTAAGTGACTATTTGGAATAGTTATTTCTCTATTTTGATTTTTAGATGATAGCCACAATTTTATTTGGCTACGGATTTTATTTTCTAAGATGGAAAACTTCTTTTGCAAAAAAAATAGGGTATGTTTTTAAAACAGTAGCCAGACAGAATTGTAATTGTGATCTGAAAAAGGAAAGCACGAAGAAATTTGTCAAATTTGTCCCAAAGAAACCTATAGTTAAGCTGTTTTTATCATGATAAGTTCACAACCAATTTTATAAAATGTTACAACCATTTCAAATAGATCATAATTCATTAGTCATTCTTTTGTAAACACTCCACATATTTCGTAGTTTCTATTTACTATGTTGGTTGGGAGCTTTGACTATCAATCAAGAGATCTTAGATTCGAAGCTTATGTATTGAATATGTCTTAATTGAATTTCTTCATGACAATTACTCATTTTTTACATAGATCTGCATTCTCCTGATATAAGTCTCCATCCTCCATACAGAAATAAATGATAAAGAGCACCTTATATAATCCTTTTTATATGTTTTCTGCTCTAAGAGGAAAAAAGAGAAAAAAAAAAAACTCAAGAAGCTACTAATTTCATAAGAAAAGCATAGTATACCTTGCAAGGATCCATTCGATATCGGATCTCCAAAGCAAAATTTAGGGTTTCTTTGAGAAAGTAGATCGAAGTGAAAGAAGGATGAGCAGTCTGAACGCAAATAAGTGTAAATTTATAGCAGCAAAGCTGCTGCCAAGCACTGGCTAGGCCATTGTCCGCTCTGCCGAACAGGTGGGCACATTGGGCCCACGCCTATCCAACGCTTATCTCATTCAATCTTCGCTGGATGAATATTCAATGGTTATGATTATATTCAGATAAGATCGATCTGGAATGAATTTATTTTAGCTTATACCATAAATACCCTTGAACAGTGCATTAGCTGTCCGGTCTTCATCACCTTTCCAGCTTAATTTGTCCTTGATAAAATGTTTTCATCAACATGATAAGCTAGTTTATAGATTGATTGAATGATTTGAATCATCCAGCAGATCATAGGTTTTATTTGAGACTTTTTTTTTGATACGTTTTTAAAGTAATTTTTTAGTAAAAAAAAATGATTTAAGAACAGCAAGAAAGGATTTACAAAAGTTCATTTGGGGCTGCTTTTTTAATGCTTCTTAAAGCGACTTTTTAATACAAAATTAAAAATTTATATTAAAAAGTTGCTTTACGAAGCAGCAAAAAAGTTATCACAAATGAAATCTTATCCAATTTGAGAGCTTTGACATCCCGAACAAAATCTTAATCAGTTGTTTGATAGCTTTGACTAACATCTAAGAGGTCTTGAATTTAAATCTTATATATGTGATATGTGTGTTTGACTTAAATTGCTCAATTTACTAAAAAAAAAAAAAAATTGTAACCAATAAAATGTAAGAAAATAAGTATATAAATTTGAGCAAGAATATTATGGCACATTTAATAATTAAAATTTGATTGTCCATCATTTAGAGCTTTCTTTAATTTTTTTTTTATAATTACTTTACTTTTTTTAGAGTTAAAAATCATATATCATTATCATTGTATTTGCCATAAAAATCTTATATTATTTCAAATAGATCATCATAAAATCAATAGAACTTATCTCGATTCTTAAAATGCTCTTTAAAGTTTAAATATAATAGATATTTTAATCACAATTTTTTACTTAAGCTCAATATTAAATTAATTTAATTTATATTACAAATCATTTAAAATAATTTTAATATTATAAATATTTTGAAAACTAATTAAACATGGTAAAAATATCTATCATATTAATTAATATACATCTTAAATTTAATAAATTAATGTTGACTAAAACGTATTATTAGTTTTATGTTAATAATATCTGATTTTATCACTGTCGAATACAAAATATATTTATATAAAATAATATATGTTATCATATACTTTAACCTTAAATTTATTATGTTATTTATTTTATTTCGATAATGCCATTCGCATATATATATATATATATATATATATATACACTATTTGGTATGACAAATATTAAATTTTATTAAATCTTGAGAAATTATTTGGTAACAGATTTTATGATTTAAGACAGATAAAGATTAAATATGAAGAAACTAACGACGAACTGAGTAACTTGTAAATACAAATCAACCATATCACATAACACCCCCCGTACACCCCACACAAATAGTTGGACTTAACTTCATAATTAAAGTAGTTGTAAAGTACTTGAGTAATAGTTGAAATAGCTAATTATTTAACTATTTCACCTACTAATGATTTAACTATTTTATCTACTAATGATTTAATAAAATAGTTGGACATAACTTCATAATTAAAGTAGTTGTAAAGTACACCTCCAGGTACCTCCGTCGCATGTCTACTACGGTCCTTCCGATCTCTATCGCATGACAACGATCTTTCCGACCTCCGTAGTCGTTTCCGACTTCCGTCGTCCACCGACTACGGTCCTTACGATCACCGCCACTTGACTACGATCTTTTCGAGTTCCGTCGCTCGCCAACTATGGTCCTGCAATACTGATTCTTCCAATTTCCACCATGTAATGCACTCTATATGATTTATATTTGCTACATCAAGCTAAGGCATTTCCCTCAAGGAAGGGCCTCATTTGTATTGACGGCAAACACTAGTGGATTCATTCAAATCGAGCCAAACCTAAGGTTTTTCCCTATTTTTAGGGGCTTTCACGAAAAAGCTCTAATGTCTCCTATGAACACTACACCCTTCTCTTTTATCTGATTGTGTGTTAGATCTTTGTACAAAACTAATTTGTTAAGCTTTACATTTCTCTATCGCCGAGAATATTGCATGATGCAACAATTATTTTTTTATTAAAATGTTACTTCTTATAATCAGTAACAAAGCTATTTTCTCTTCAATAAATTTACAATCAATTTGATTAAAAAAAAAAAAAACTGCAACAGTTCCTGCCCGTCCCCAAAATATCATTTAATAATGTAGAACTGAAGGAAGAAGCTAAAACAAATAAAAATAAAAATAAAAAAAATAAATTTTAAAAAAACTGAATGAAGAAGCTCATTTTCTGTAACTCTATAATTTTTTGTATATTCAATATACAGACTTTGCCCTAAATAATAATAATAATAATAATAATAAAAAGCTAACGGTTTCATGTGTGGCTCTAATTGAATGGTTCCTTGATCTTTTGGACTTTTGCTATTGATTGTACATAACATTGGCATCTTGGATTATTCAATGCTGGACACAGCTAAGTCAAGCGGGACTTCTGTAAAAGCTAATATTGTGTTTCACTCCTTGTACTTAATCTTAGAAGCAAAAATGACTGTTTGTACTTTGTAGTCAAAAATCATTTTTTAAAAATAAAAATTTTATTAAAAAACTTTCTTTAATTGCAATTTCAAATTTCATTAAACTTCTCAGTTTTTTAAAAAATAATAATAATAATTTTACTTTTCATATTTCAAAAAATAAAATAATATTATTATTTAAAATGTTTATCTTCTATTTAATTACAAGCATGCAAAGAAACTTTTAGAATAATTATTGGTATGCATTAAAAAATTTCATTTAAATACTCCACACTGAATTCATAGGATTATTGTTAGACATCTAAATCTTGTTTAAAGGTGTCAAAATGGGTCATATTTGAGTCCCAATCTAAATATAGTCAATCTAAACTAGACTCATTTAAAGGTGGACATAAACCCAATCCGCTAGCACCCTGGTTAAACTGAATCTGACCCGATGACATATTTTGATTAAAATTTTTATAACTTATAAACTATACCAACAAGCAAATGTATTTTACGGAAAGAAATAAAACGAATCAAAATAGAGTTTACAAGTCAACTCAAACCTGACCTGACAATTAAACATGTAAGAACTTTGGACACAAATTCGATACGGGTCCATCAAATTTGAATTTCAGATCGGATCATTTATTAACTTCCTTAATCTCTTTGTGAATATACATATTTCTTGTGTTAACTAACACAACTTAATTTTTAAGCTTGATATAATCTATCTCCCATAGTAGACTAAGATAAACTAATTAAGAGCCTTAACCTAAATTGGTTAAGTTCATTGGAAACCAAACTAATAGTCCTTCCTTCCTTTAAATTTCATTATCTGTAACCTCATTTTAAAGTCATAATCAAATGAGTGGGTAGTTAAATAATATAGGTATTTTAATGATTCCCAATATCTTTTAATTTGAACTATTGGGACATTTTCCTTATAGAAAAGAAAATTTCATTTTCTTCGAAAGAAGCTATAAATAATAGACCAAAAAAACAAGCTATTGCAAATATATTTCAAAAACTTATTGTTGAATTCAAAGTTTTGATAATATGAATCCAATAACCCCAAATAATTTGATTGGATTTTAAATGGCACGAATCAAACAATTGATGTGCAGATATATAACACTTATTAGATAATAAAATAATCTTCAAATTTTACGGTCTTATAGTCAAAACTAACATCTCAATGAGAGGAATCAAACAAGTATAAGATCTCTATGTTATGAGGTGATTAAGGCACTTTTTAGTGCTTAAAATAATCTATAATAAAAAAAAAACATCATAAGTCAACCGATAAAATGCTATAAATGTGATCCATTCATAAGCCTTTTGTCTTATTTTCAATGTGATTCATCTAACTCTTTAAAGCTAGCTTAGCCTGAGGAATGAATAAGAGAAATTTTTCTTCTTTCATTCAATTCTCAAACATAAATCTCTTTCAAACACTAATCATTCCAAGTAGTTAGAGTTTTTTACTCTTCTTATCCAAGATGATGAAATACAGTGAAGATGGGAATGAAGTAAATGGTTATGTCTTTTAACATTGAGAGATGAATTGATTCTGAAGATTGTTATTCTAATGGTTTCATCTAAATAACCACTCAAGATAAAATAATTTCATTTGATTTATTAATACCAATTCGTATTTCTAAATTAATCAAAAGAGTCATCTTTCTTCAAATTATAAAATTATTTGTTAGGTTTTGAGAAGAGAGGTTAGGCAAAACTTGGATTTCTTGAATAATTATTTACCTAGAGGATTTTCATAGAAGACAACATTTTATGTTGGTTTCTTAGTTATAATAAATTTGAATGATAACTCCTAAGGCCAACAAGAAGCACTAGCATCATGAAGGATGGGTCGATATTAGTTGTCATGCCCTGATATCTAAAGTAGAAGAAATTTATCTAGTTTGCCTTTATTCATTTATCGTTTTCCTTACAATTTAATTAACAATCAATATTCACTTATAACCAAATCATCATTAACCAGAGCTAACTAATTACATTAAGGAAAAAAAAATATAAACAGTGAAACACAAAATTTTAATACAGCAATCAATATTTACATTGTTTATAAGATCCAATGTTTCAAAATAATATGTACAATAGTCACTAAAAGTTACAAAATAATACATATAAAGTCAGAGAATTAAAAATAAAATTAATTATTAACACTGCCTAGCCTCACCCTACAGGCTCCTTACATTTTGCTAAATTAAATAAAATCACGTAATGAGCACATAGTCCAGTAAGTAACTAAAATTTATCATTACATTTAATGCAAGACCAAAGAATCAATATGAATGCTTCAATTTGAGTCCATATTAATCAATAACATCATATACAAGCAATTTTTATTATGTCAGTCTGCTTTCAATATAAGCATATCCTTGCATAGGTTCAAGAAATTGTTATTATGTCATTTGGTTCCTATAATCATCA